AGGAAAATCTGCATAAAAAAATGAGGAAAATCTGCAAAAAAATTCATTAAAAATGTGGAAAATCTGCAAAAAAAGTAATGAAATATGAGGAAAATCTGCATAAAAAAATGAGGAAAATCTGCAAAAAAATTCATTAAAAATGAGGAAAATCTGCAAAAAAATTCATAAAAAATGAGGAAAATCTCAAAAAAAACCCAAAAAACAGGAAAATCTGCCAAAAAAAGTAATAAAAAGTGAGGAAAATCTGCAAAAAAATTCATAAAAAATCAGCAAAAATCTGCAAAAAATCATTAAAAAATCGGCAGAACGCGCCCAAAAAAATTCATCAAAAATGACTAAAATCTACCAAAAAAAATTCATAAAAAGTCGGAAAAAAATCGCGTGATTCCCGGCTTCCCGGGGCAGCGGGAGTTGGGATTCTCCCAGCCGGGATGGGATGGGATGGGAGGCCCCGCCATCCCTTTGATCCCAGCAGCAGGTGCCAATTATCCCGGGAATGCTCAGCCATCAAAAAGTCCCCTGGGTGAGTCTCCGGTGCCTTCAGGATTCCCTGGAGTCAGAAGCTCCTGGAGTGACCTGGATAAACCTGGATAAACCCGGATAAACCCGGATAAACCAGGACTCGGAGCCGCTCCCGGGGCCTTGTGGTGGCCCCAGGCACTGCTGCTTTCCTCCAGCCTTTCCTGCCGGGATCCCAAGCTCCATGTGGCTTTCCCAAGCTTGGCTTTTCCCTGTTTTTGGGTCAGAGGCCTGGAGCTGTTGTCCCTGGTGTCCCCTTTCTCCGGGATCTCCAGGGAAGCTCCGGCCGAGCGAGGAGCCGGCGCCGCTCGGCTGCTTCCCGCCTTCCCACCTCCTTCCTTCCTCCTTCCTAGGGATTGGATCAGACCCAAGGAGTTAGGGATGCTGTGTCCCCTTCCTAGGGATGCTGTGTCCCCTTCCTAGGGATGCTGTGTCCCCTTCCTAGGGATGCTGTGTCCCCTTCCTAGGGATGATGTGTCCCCTTCCTAGGGATGATGTGTCCCCTTCCTATGGATTCTGTGTCCCCTTCCTATGGATGTGTGTCCCTTTCCTTGGGATTCTGTGTCCCCTTCCTAGGAATGCTGTGTCCCCTTCCTAGGGATGTGTGTCCCCTTCTTTGGGATTCTGTGTCCCCTTCCTATGGATTCTGTGTCCCCTTCCTAGGAATACCCTGTCCCTTCCCTTGGGATGTGTGTCCCCTTCCTATGGATGCTGTGTCCCCTTCCTATGGATTATGTGTCCCCTTCTTTGGGATTCTGTGTCACCTTCCTATGGATTATGTGTCCCCTTCCTAGGAATGCCGTGTCCCCTTCCTAGGGATTCTGTGTCCCCTTCCTAGGATTGCTGTCCCCTTCCTATGGATGCTGTGTCCCCTTCTTTGGGATTCTGTGACCCCTTCCTATGGATTCTGTGTCCCCTTCCTAGGAATGCCGTGTCCCCTTCCTAGGGATGTGTGTCCCCTTCCTCTGGATGCTGTGTCCCCTTCCTAGGAATGCTCTCCCCTTCCTAGGAATGCTCTCCCCTTCCTAGGAATGCCATGTCCCCTTCCTAGGATTGCTGTTCCCTTCCTAGGGATGCTCTGTCCCCTTCCTATGGATGCCATGTCCCCTTCCTATGGATGTGTGTCCCCTTCTTTGGGATTCTGTGTCCCCTTCCTATGGATTCTGTGTCCCCTTCCTAGGGATTCTGTGTCCCCTTCTTTGGGATTCTGTGTCCCCTTCCTTGGGATTCTGTGTCCCCTTCCTATGGATTCTGTGTCCCCTTCCTAGGAATGCCATGTTCCCTTCCTTGGAATGCCGTGTCCCCTTCCTAGGGATGTGTGTCCCCTTCCTTGGGATTCTGTGTCCCCTTCCTTGGGATTCTGTGTCCCCTTCCTTGGGATTCTGTGTCCCCTTCCTTGGGATTCTGTGTCCCCTTCCTAGGGATGTGTGTCCCCTTCCTATGGATGTGTGTCCCCTTCCTAGGGATGTGTGTCCCCTTCCTAGGGATGTGTGTCCCCTTCCTAGGAATGCTGTCCCCTTCCTTGGGATTCTGTGTCCCCTTCCTAGGAGTGGTGTCCCCTTCCTAGGAGTGGTGTCCCCTTCCTATGGACTCTGTGTCCCATTCCTAGGGATGTGTGTCCCCTTCCTAGGAATACCCTGTCCCTTCCCTTGGGATGTGTGTCCCCTTCCTAGGGATGCCGTGTCCCCTTCCTAGGGATGCCGTGTCCCCTTCCTAGGAATGCTGTCCCCTTCCCAGGGATGCTGTTTCCAGCTGCCCTGGTTTGATCCCAACTCCAGCTCCCCACAGCGGGTGGAAGCCACCTGCTTTCCACCTGTTTTCCGCCTGTTTTCCTCCTTATCCGCCATAACAAACCACTCGAACCAGGGCTGGAATTCCTGCTCCCGAGCCGCAGGATGTCCCAGATCCCTCCCTAACGAGCCTTTTCCCGTCCTTCCAGAGGGAGTGCATCTCCATCCACATCGGGCAGGCCGGGGTGCAGATGGGCAATGCCTGCTGGGAGCTGTACTGCCTGGAGCACGGCATCCGGGCCGACGGCACCATCCCGGCACCCAAGCCGGGCAAATCCCCGGATCCCGGCTCGGAGCAGGCCGATTCTTCCTTCGAGACCTTCTTCTGTGAGACGGCCTCCGGGAAACACGTGCCCAGGGCCGTGTTCATCGACCTGGAGCCCACGGTCATCGGTAAGAGGGGTTTTTTGGGGAGTCCCCGCCCTTCTTCTGTTGCCACCCGTGTTTCCCGGCAGATCCCGCTCCTCCGCTCCGATAAAACATTCCCAGCC